GTCGGGTTCATTTTCTTAAGAAGAACTGAAATACAGACTTATCGATATTATTCCTGCAGGAAGGAGAGACAGTTGAACCCCAGACCCAAACACACTGTCTCCCACTGGACCTCCTCTGCAGAGCGTTTATTAACAGAACATGACACCTGGTTACAAACAGAGTATTGTTCTGACAGAACAATTGATCAGTTCATGAAATAACTCCATCAGAATGACAAGGCAGGATGGCCTCCTGAATGGATCATGAGACAAGAGTGGAGGATCCCCTTGCACAGATGTTTTATAAGCACACATTAATTTTATAATCATCATTGAATAAACCTAACATTTTCCATTTTCATTTTACCAAGAACAAAATCAGAACTGTGTTGCGTGTATTACTGTTGAGCCTCTCCCAGTCACTGCTACCTGTCTCTGCAATTGAAGCACCATATTTTTGTTTGTCTCAACAAGCTTAAAAAAGTCTGGAGACTAAACTTTTTTTTGTTTGTTTCTGTTGCAAAAAAGCTCAGACTCAGCTTATGCCACATTGGATTTTGAACAAGTGGCTTTATGTTTAGGGTTGTTTGGGAAACTTTGCCACATTATCTCCTCTAAAATGTTTTCTGAGTAGCTACACCATGGTTGACTATGAGGATGGTGCATTCAGGTTTCACATTTGCCCTCCATAAAGCTGTTTGATCACTCACATTCTCTAACAAATAAACAATTTATCCATGAATTCTCTTTACTTATTTGGTGACTTTAGATAAAAGGCTCTGTTTAGGAAAGAAGCAGCTATGAAGAGAAGCTATGAGCCAGTTTTTTATGCCAAAATAGATTAAAGGGAACACATACAGTTAGTCACATTAAAAGCTGACCCCATAGCTATGTCTAGGAGAGAAGGAAAGTTAAACACTGAAAAACAAGCCTGACTATTATTTATAAACATTGTTGTTGATGGCAGCAGCCCAGGTAATATTTTCCCCCAGAATGATTCACAGCCAAAAAGGACCAGATAAGATGAAGCTACTATAAAAAGGAAAGCAGAAAGAACATAAGGCTAGAGGTTGAACTAACAGATATGGCAGAGTGTGTGAATAGAGATAGTTGTCCCTATGTCCTCCAGCAGTCTAAGCCTATAGTGTCATGACGGGTCTAACTGATTTAACCCACATGCAGAACACCACAGAGACTGAGTAAAAGCTTCAACTGTTTATTGAGGCAAAAACACAATAAAGTTATTCTGGACTGATGCTGGAACGGGTCCGGAACCGGTATCACAGGTTTCTCTGTAGAGAGGGACAGTTTGGTTAGCCAGGAAAAGCAGGAGAGTCTTGACTTAGCTAGGAACTGATCGGTACCTGATGTGGTTCAGACTGAGCGGTAGAGGGAGGGAACCAGAAGGGTCCAGAGACTGAGGGATCAGCTGAGGGGTTTAGCAGCGGCAGTGCTTGGCTTCAGACTAGTGAGGTTCTGACCTTGAGTTCTCTCCTTGAGAACAGGCAGGCAGATTCAGACTGTAGATCTTCAGGGTCAGGTCTTCCTAGGAAGCAGAGAGAACAAGGACTGGTTA